CCAAGATTACCTTTTCGTAGTAGAATTGTCGCTGATGCAAACCATGTGTGTTTGTAGATACGAAGAGTAACTGAATTTCAATTAATCACATAAGATCGACCTACCAATTTCCTATTCATGCACTTTCATACGAAATGAAAATTCGTTCAACTTCTATTTTCATTAAATATTGCATATCCTTGTATCCCAGCATGGACAGACATCATCAAAGCCGGATACCACTGGTCACTATGCATCAAATACAATGAGCCAAAAATGAGGGCAGCCCGATGCTTTTTCCTCATTTTATTATGGAAACTTCAACAGCAAATCCTCATACCCTTTTAAACCACCAAATATGGTGGTGAAGGTGATGAGGGTGATCAAGCTTCATTAAATCCACTTGAACCGATACACTCCCAGTCGACATTGAAGCAAAGGTAGACACAAATCGGTGTAAATAACCTAATGGTCCATATGAAGCGGCTAGTAAGGGATAGGGATACAGCAGTGGGAGCCAGAACAGCAAATTGGCCAATAGGATCGTCTTCACATGGCACTTTTGACGAGATGTAGCTCGATGCCCCGTATTGACAATGCCAACTACGATGCCGATGAAATGTCTGTAAATGAACCGAGTCCATGGTCCGATGCTGTATGTTGTCACGACTACTCTGGCGAAAAACATTGGCCCAGCTACGCCACACAAGGTCCGTTTATTTGCTCAACTAAGATACGAAAACGAGGTCAAACCAACAATACACAGTTAAAGAAGACTGTGGAATGTCTACGACATAATTAATGCGTTTCTGGAATATAAAAAAAACTCGATCAAGTATTTACGTCTTGTGGGGGATTGTGCTGAACACAGTGTCAAGATGAAAGTTATAAGAATATCTTCTGGGAGATATAATTCTATTCGTGGGGCCTACTCCTCTCAATGTAGGAAAATACATCAACTTATGCAGACTGGAGTGACTACAACTATTATTCTGTAGCCTGTTCACTCTAGACTGCCTAAAGTAATTTACGGACTGATAGGGGTTTTTTCCCAAAATCATGTTAGTTGGATTTCACTTATCCCAATGTCTTCTGGGCAGATTACCCCAGCAACACGTGGCCAACGTTTCTTAGGACAAATTTTAGTTGCACAGGAAGCCAGGCCTCATTCAAATCATACAAATATGTATTTTCCATTACATTAGACAGCAAACTAACATCCAGAGATTTTAATGAGTACAAATTTAGGTAAGGGGTCTTTAATCATGCAGCGATGTAGTTTACATAATTAACATTTAATGGTGAACTGAAATTATTTTAAATAATTCTCAATCATGAGATGGTATATTTCACTAATTTTGGATAACAACTACGTAGCCCTTTTGGAGGATCAGCTAATTCTCAGAGCACGTTTAGTCACTGAATTATGGGCTCTGTATGAGGAATACAACTTTTAGTTTTGGCGGTACGACAAATGGAATCTAGAAAATTTCCTAGAATAGTTATAAACGTAATAGTGCAGATAAAGAAAGTATGCCTTTAACTAGTGGCAGTAGTGTGAAGAAACGAAAACATCTTAAATATGATGGCAGCTGTTTAGAGTTTGCTTTTACGTCAACAAAATTAATGCCGAAGAGAGACCACAATGTTTATTGTGTATGAAAATTTTGTCAACAGAGTGTATGCTTCCAAGTAAATTGAAGCGCCATTTAGAAGCTAATCACACCAGCATGTTTGGAAGTGTACAGTTTAGTTCCACGATTTGAGAAAATATGCAGTTATTTGCAGGCTCATATTTCACATTAATTATTTAATATTGGTTTAATGTAAATAAAGTAACAAAAATAATAGAGATACGCGAATTTTATTTATTTTTATCTCTTACGTACGAATATTCATAATTAGGGTAGGGCGCCATGAAAAAAATTTAATTTAAAAAGGGCGCAGCGACTAGGAAAAGTTTGGGAACTACTGTCCTTGCCTATTGTGTGCCAAACCAGAAATGTTGTGGTTCTACTTGTTTTGATTAGGCTCCTGTTCATTAGATTTATTTTAGCCCGTACATCAAAATTTACATGAGATGGGGTCTCAATTTGTCTATCCTTGAGTACATAGCCTCCGTCTCAAAATGTATTCTTCATTCAAGAGATATTATTATAAATTAGACCTGAAGAATAATTAATTGCTAGGAATTTATTTGTCTGTCGTTTCAACTATTTACTCAAATGATTGTTATCCGCTAGCCGCATTCCCCCAATTATTATTGACTTCAAAGTTCCAACCTTAGTCTTGTAACTATGGTTTGAAAGAAAATTAAGCAAAGAGACAACATAAGTTGGCTTCCTACAAACATCACTTCTTAACTCACCCTCTTCTGCAATTATGAGAACATTCAGAACGGGTAAGGACTTATTTTAATCCATTTCCAATGTGAACCTAATGCTACTTTCACGTTGGTTGAGTGAAAGTAGCAAACTATCTAAACTTTCCTCTCCATGAGGCCAGATGACAAAATAGTCATTCATGTTTTTAACCAACAATTTGGGTGTTAGTATTGCCTCTTGTAGGAAGTGTTCCTTCAGTCTTGCCACACAATTGTTGCCACGAAGGGTGAATACATCTCATGCCACGAAGGAAGCCAGGCAAGATCCCATCGCTAGTGCTTGTGTTTGTTCGTACAACTTACATTCAAAGATAAACTATGTGCTACTAATGGATAGGTTACGAAGTCTATCTATGGACACTGCGCTCAACCCTATTCCTTGTGTGATGTCCGGCTTAGTGATGGTCCCAACTTCACTCACATTCGTCCAACATGTTTGATCAAGTTGATCAACCAAAACCTGACCTCCCCGATTACGCAGCCCCAGTTATGCCTTTCCTTGAGTCGGTAAACGTTAGTGACCCTAGACTGGGAGGCTAGCACATGTGGTTTCGTAACTTGACATACTTGCTTTCTTTTAGGTCATTAGGCCTTGATGATTTAGGACCAAAATTGCGTGGCATATTCGATATGAAAAATGATTAGCCAAATAATTCTATATCTAACTATACCTTTTAATATTATTTTGCTGATTGAGTCTAGAAAAGAGGTAATATAGAGCCAAATGGCCTTCTTGATTTAGTGTTGGTCAACGTGAGACTTTCACTTGAATGAGTTCCAGCTCTGAGGATGTCTGCAATTGGAGCGAAAAACGCTTAACCCATTTGCACCCGAGACGAGGGAGGATGCCTCGTGGACTGCATCCACTTAAAACGTCGTATTAAAGCCGAACAGCTGCAGTAAAACGCGATTCAGCCGTCCTCTTCTGGTCAGATGTACTTTGGAATCGCTTCTTCATTCACTTTCAAACGAAATAAAAGTCCCCTCAACAATGTTATGCCAGGAGAATCGTCGAAACCCAATCACTCTTCGTATCCACATATAAAGTTGCTCTAATTCTTTAAATATGTCTACTAAACGAAATCGGGTGAATATATATCATACATATTCAAATGGTTTAGTCTCGTTTGCTGGCCTCCTTTTAACTGGCAGCCCACTGCCCATGCTACAGGCGTTTTTACTATTCCATACGATCAGCAAAATGGCAATTTTGTGCACGTGAAGCCTGGAAACCAAATGGAAATTGGGTAGCTCACCGCTCAATCGAATCTTGCTCGAGGGGCTCTTGGCTTCTTGTTCTTCGCGGTTACCAGAGGCAGCAGCACTCGGCAGAGGGCTGAGCACTTCTTGCGGAAGGTTTGCAGGTGGAGCATGTGGCAAAGGACCTGGGAGTGCATACACGTAGTCCCCATTCGCAGACTGCTCCTCAACCATCTCCATGATGCAGTTATTCGTGTACAAATGCGCATGAGAGCATGGCTCTAATGTCTGGAAATAAAGCAAAAGTCGAGTGTAAAATCAAAAACTTAATTCTATCGAAAATTAGTTGAAAAAGATTTTGTGAAGTCCACGGACATTGTGCAGCATTCACTTCCCGCCAGTAGGGTTGGACGAGAGGCAAGCTTGTCCAAAAATCCTACATCTAATCATCTCAAACATAGTTGCTTATGGAGTAGCGCAGTCTCGGTCTGGACAATTTTCTTGGGTCATTACACCTTAATGACCAATAGAAATGGGTTGACCTTGTTGTCGCAACTTGGTCTTGTTGTCAGGGAGACTTAGTAGAACGAACCTAGTCCAAAGTCGTCTGCCATCGTAGTTGTCATAATTCCCAGTATCAAACCGTGGACTTTGTTCATTTTCAAGTCCACTGTCTGATGCTGGGAATCATGACAACTACGATGGCAGACGACTTCGGACTAGGTGCGTTCTTAAGTCGCCCTGACAACAAGAACATGTTACGACAGCGAGGTCAACCCATACCAGAGGTCACACCATCTTGGTCTTCATATCTTAATGACCAAGGCCTGATACAGAGTCTTTATAATCGCACGGATCTATGACCTTAAACGAAATTGGGTGAATACATCTCATATTACTGATTTACTGGTAGTCACGAAAACAATACTCAATTCGAAAAATTAAGTATAAAAGTCGATTGTTATAGCAGTTATACGTTTACTTCATCGAAAATCCCACTAAAGAATGTGATATGACAAAAAACCCTGGCCTTCCTTGAAAATTCACATTTGCCCTGTGACCCAAAAAGGCGCTCGTGGCAGTGTAGCCAAGTGGTTGGCGTATAAAGCTCCCATCATGCACTTTCGCGGTTCGACTCCCGCTGAGGGTTTGATAAGACCGATGGGAGATCGAAACTGCATTTTCCCTCAGTCTGGTCGAGAACAAGTTTTGGGAAAGCAAGGCCATGTGAAATTCAATGGAAACGTCAGCTAAACTCATATAATTGTGGGAAAATCTTTCTTCTACCAGTCCTTTATCACCTCAAACGAAATCGGGTGAATACATTTTGTAGAAATTTTAGTACAAACTTGTACATACTCAAGTGAAAGTACCATTAAAAATCGAAAAGATAATTAGCGAAACCATTCTATATCTATCTGTATCGGTACATTTTCGTTATTTCGTTATGAGTATATATAAGAGTGGACGAAAGCTGACTCGGTTTTTACGCGAAACGAGGGAGGATGTCTCATAGAATGCGTCGATCTGTACGCAAAACGGCTAAAGTAAAACGAAAATAAGCTGTCGTCTTTTGGTGAGATCGACTTTTGAATCTCTTCTTCATGCACTTTCATACATAATAAAAGTCTACTCAGAAAAACTTTGAACATCATTCCTAAAATCCTTCACTCAAGCATACATAGTTTCTAGAGGTTGTTTGACATTGTTATCGCAACTTGGTCGTGTTGGTAGGATGACTTAGAGGAACGCACCTGGTCCAGGGTCCATTGTATGCATCATGATTTCCAGAGCAGAACCGTGGACGTGGTACATTCCAAGACGTTGTGCTGGCATCACCAGTGAGTATAGCCATTCTTAGCACCATTCAACAGTTTGTCAAAGAGAGCACCACACGAGTTGTTGTGTGGTGCTAAGAATGGCGATACTCACTGAAGATGCCGACTACGATGCCGGCGAAACGTCTGCGAATGTACCACCTCCATGGTCCTACTCTGCAAATGATGATGCATACAATGGACTCCGGACCAGGTGCGCTCCTCTAAGTCGTCCTACCAACATGACCAAGTTGCGAAAACATGGTCAAACAACTTGTATACAACGAAAGGAGACTGTGATCACACAAAAGACCACACCATCTTGATCTTCATACCTTCGATAAATAGTTTCTACTCAACTTCCTGCCCCCCTCCCTAGCCTCAAAGCATTGCCGAATCTATTAATTTCTAATGCCTCTCTCAGCCTCCTTTTGCAGCAGGCCTACCATATTCGGCAAGCCGATGAGTTCGAGACCATTCTATCTCGTTTTCATCCTCTGGCCTGCTTTTCGACTAGTTTTCTTCATGAAGTGTAATCAGCCAATTTCATGTAAGGCCATTTCTCCCACTTGTCACTTTGATAAATTGCAACTCTGTGCTAACGATGCCGGTGAAACGTTTGGGAATGTACCACGTCAATGGTCCGAAGCTGGGATTCATGAATACCATGGCAAAGGAGTCAGGACCGGGTACGTTACACAAGGTCTCCATGACGCTTCGACCAAGTTGCGATACGAGGTCGAACCAACACTGAAAAGACTTATTCTCTTCCATTTCAATTATGAGCCTAATTTTACATTCACTAATTTCAATGGAAAGTAGCAAACTATCTAAACTGTACTGACACCTCCACCCTGTATTTCACTTCGGCCGGCTAAATCTGCCTAGGCAATACCGGCAAGGCTTGGCTATAGACGCCCCTCAGATGTCGTCACTATTGTTCTATCTATCCACAATTGCCAGACTCTTCCTGGTTCACGCCATTCTGTATAATCTCTACTCCCTGTGGGTGTGCATATCTACAAAGTATCCCCCAAGGTAGGCTTATTCCCTTGTGCAGGTACTTGTTTGTGTCTACATTTCTACGAATCCACATCTCTTGGTGTTTATCCCTATATATATCACAATGTGTAGGGTTGTTTTAGTGCAAATGTGTAGATCTGTGCCGAAACATACCAGAAGCCACACCATCTTGGCCTTCATATCTTTCATCTAAACTTTCCTTACCATGCAACCATAAGATAAAATAGTCATCAATCTATCAAACCCACACTTTATGGGGTTAGTGTTGCATGTTCCAACTAATGTTTCTCAAGGTTGGCCACATAGTTGTTGGCCAAAATGGGAGCTAAGTAAGATATCATCGTAAGTCTTTGTTTTTGCTCCAAATAACCTGCGTTAACAGGAAAAATGAGTGCTACTCATGGACGGAAACTATGCTTATCTTTATTCTTTGTCTAATTTCCCCATGCTCCTCCAAGTGGCGCACTAGAGTCTGACTAAATCTCTGGACGGGAATAGTTGTGATAAGCTATTTCAACAAATTCATTTAAAAGTTGTTTGACCTTGTTTTCACAACTTGGTCATGTTGTTAGGAGGACTTAGAGGAACGCACCTAGTCCGGAGTCCATTGTATGTATCATCATTTCCAGAGTAGGACCATGGACGTGGTACATTCCCGGCGAAACGTTTGGAAATGTACCATGTCCACGGTTCAACTTTGGAAATGCTGATTCAGACAATGGACCCCGGACTAGATGCGTTTCTCTAAGTCTTCCTACCAACATGACCAAGTTGCGAAAACAAGGTCAAACAACTCCTATACAACGAAAGGAGACTGCGACTAGACTTGATACCTTCGATAAAAAATTCATTTAAAGTTTGTAATTGAATTTCGCCATAAATCAGCAGCCTTTCTTAATTGTTTGCATAAAAAACGTGAGTTTTTATGCATTACGCCTCCTTTATTATTTACAAGTAATCTAAGAAGGACCCCCTCCTAAACTTTTAACATCTCCCATTCACCATTGCTTACGCAAACCTTTAGGATCCGCTTTAGCATAGTTTGACGCACCTCATTTTTATGTCTCACTAACGGCTTATAAACATTAGTATCATTTAAATGTATAAGCATTTTTTCTAAATAATTTGATTTATCCGTGACTAATACTGCTCCACCTTGGCCGGCTTTCATAAAAATAAGATTATTGTGACCTAAATATCCATAAACCATATTAGGAATACAATATTTCTTTGACGTGGTTGTCTGGTCTAAATGAGGAATCACCTTAAGCTCAATACTATTCTTGACTTCCTCTACTCGACAGCCTATTTGATAAGCTAATTAATTCATCAGGTATGTCCAGAGAAGGGTTTACTTAAAATGATAGAGCAAAATTCAATTCAGTTTATAATAAACGTTTCGCATTATCCTCGAGAATCGTCCTGGATAAAATAACTACCTTATCCTTCATACATTTATTCTCAAAATGATTAACGCGCCCTAGCTTAAGTGCAAAATGCCTCGAACAAAATCTTAATTCCTAAAGTCTTAACTTCATATTTTGCATCTACTTGGTCGTTCTATCAGCAATGTCCCACAACTTAAAGAAATATGCATCATTCATTACCTGAGAAAAAGATTGTCTAAGCCTGGTTTTAGCTACAATTAGTTCCTGTAGCCTTGTAATGCCTCCTTTAAGCCTTGCCTCAACGAAACCATTCGATATCTGATCCAGGCAACCAAAATCATGTCGTTTCTTGGGTCCTTGAATCTTAATAAGCCTAGACTGACGGGTTATGACGGGTGGTTTCGTAACCTGATTCACATCTCATTATCTCAACCAGAGTTGCTTACGGACATTACGCCTTGATGGTTCGAGCCTGACATTATACTTTTGCAGTTACTCTGATTTAAGATCGCTCTTGTGCACACATATTGCCACAGGCATGCCCACAAACAGACATACTCAAGTCAAAGTTACATGATTAATATGAAGGAAAGGTGAAAAAACATTATAACATTTTTAAGATATGAAGACCAAGATGTTATGGCCTCTGGTATGGCGGCAGTCTCCTTTCGATTTATACAAATGGGTTGACCTCTTTGTCGTAACTGGGTCATGTTGCTGCCAGGAAGTAAATGTTAACCAAGTGTGATGGACACAATAATGAGTCCATACAAAATGGGAATATGCCAAGAGAAAGTGGGTTTCAGTGAAACCATTGAGACTTTTATTTTGTGAGAAAGTGCATGATGAAGAGATTCGTTGGTTGATCTCACCAGAAGACGAATGCCGTTTCTCATTGTCTGCAACCGTTTGGCTCTTACGCAACTTTCATGTTGTACTCAACCTACAGGACTTCTTCCCTCGTTTCCGATGAAACTGGGCTGAGCATCATTGCTTGAACTCATTCTTGTAT